TCTTCCTCAGTGGCAACAGTGTTTTCAGTAGGGTCGGAGCTGTCGTCAACGTTCATAGTACTGGAGGAAGCAACGTTGTCAGTAGAAGAAACTTCCTTTTATTTGCCTTTGTTGTTTACTGCAAGAGTTTCGACATGAGTGTTGTCGACTTCCATGTCGTTTTCAGGAAGTGAGTTGTTCGTTGGGACAGATAAAGAAGCTGTTGGTTCAACTGTCTGCATAGTATTTTGTCTTTTGCTAGGTTGTTGGACACTTTTGGGCGACGCAGAGCGACCGCGGTTGTTATTTTGTTTTCTGCTATATTTTGGTATGGTGGAGTAGCAGAAAGATTATATTTATTATATTAAATATTTTTTGATATTATTTAACAAGTAAATAAGAAAAAATTTCCTTTTTTGAATCAGGTTGGGTTAGGTTAGGTAAATCTGACCTGATAGGTCAACCAATCAAATTATATATAGCTGATATATTAAAAGTTATTATTTAAAAAATAAAATTTTTTTTTTTAAAGTGCGGTAATTCTATAAAATCTTTATTGAAATATAAGAATTCTATATAAAATAAAATACATATTTAAAAAAATTATGAAAATCTCGTATAAACTAATCTAAGACTATTCTATAGATGACTGACCCTACACTCCTCTAAAATTAAAATCTAAACTAAATTAAGTCTATCACTTTTTAGAAAATCGTTTAAAAAATAAAAAAAATAAAAAAAAAATTGAAAAAGCTATTTTTAGATGATTAGGTATAATGTAAACTGATCATATAATTGAATAATTTATAAGAATATGTAAATAAATAAAAAATATAAAGCAAAAATTACAACGGATGGGTGAGAGGAGGGGAGAATAAAGTATTTTTTTTTTACACATATTTTATGAAATTCAAAGTGAATTTTACTCTTAATAAAAATCTTTAAATTTATCATTAATTATTATAATTAAAAAGCACATTTGAAAAAGAATAAAATTCTGAATAAAAAACTGTAATTGTAATATTTAATTATTATATAATTACTATTTTATGTAATCTTAAAAATATAATAAAAATCAATAAAAAAACAATTTTTTTAAATTTATTTAAAGAAAATTAATTATATTAAAATAAAATAATAACTTTTAAATACTTTTATTTGATATTTTTTTTTTTTTTATAAAATGTAGTAATTTCATGATATACATTTATATTGATATAGTATTTAATAAATTACATAAATAAATATTCAAAAAAAAAATTTGAGAATTAATACAATTACAAAAGCTATTACTTAATGAATATTAAATTACGCAAGATAAAATTTATAAGTATATAGTTTCTGATATATAGAACATTTTTACTTGGTACATAGTAAGTGATTTACTTTAACTAAAGTGATCAAATTATCCTATAAAATTAAAAAAAAAAGGTCTGCGCTATTAATAAAGTTACAAAAATACATATTACAATATGAATATTAATCCAATTAAAATTAAATTTTATATATAAATAATATCACATCTAAATAACAAAATAAATTAGAGTTTTAAATTAAATCAAATATAATATATTGTTTATTAAAATAATTTAAAATAATTTGATCAAATTAGGTTAGATTAGATTAGGTCAGATCAGATCAAATGAAAATTTAAATTAGATCAGATTTTTATTTGACTTGATCTGATCCTTTCAATTCAGGTAACTTGATTGACTTGACCTGAACTGGCTTGTTCAGAATTCTAGTTAAAACTAATATTGAATTTAATGATTTGAAAAAAGAAATTATGTATCAACTTATCCTAAAATTGAAAGTTCTTTAACAATTTGATTTATACAAGCACTTTCTACAAATTAACAATTACAGAAGATATTTAAAAGCAAAAGTATATATTTTTGTATAATTGTTTAATATAGAAAAATTTTTTGTATCAGGTAGTTAGCTTTCAAAATTCAAAAAATAATATCATATTTAATAATATATAAAGACAAGTGAAATACATAATATTTTACTTAATACTTTAGATGATGAAAAAGCAAAATTTTAAAATATTATTAGTAAATATGAACTTGAAAATATATTTAATTGTGATAAAACAGATAATTAAAAATTAATTATTTATATTATTTATATTTAAATATATAAAATTTAATAATTTAATAATTTTATCATTTAGCTTTATTTTAGCAATTAGAACTATCAAAACCTTAGCTAATGATCCTATTTTAGAAATAAAAAAATCTAAAAATTATATTATAATTATATTAACATAGATCTACAGAAATAAGAGATTATATGACATTGCAAAAATAATCTAAAAGAAGATAGCATAATACAAAAGATTATCAAATTGGCTGAAAAATGATTAACATAAGTATTATACAAATCTTAAGATAAAATAATTAATAAAGAGAAATGAAATCATTAGTTATAATGACATATGATGCAAGTCTAAAATAGGTATACTAAAGAGGATTTCAAAGAGAGAAGGGAATGTAATAATAGAGTAATAATTAAAATATATTTATGACATTATAGAGTCATTAATTATAGGATTATTATAAAATAATTAGGTAATCATTACTTTAACATAATATGAACATTGATCATTGATGAGGGAATTATTACATAATTATTCTATTATAAGATAGATTTTAGTTTAGGAATTTTATTATAAATAGCCATTAAAAATTATTATGTAAAAAGTAACTTTTTGAAAAATAAATTTATGAGATATAAATTGTATTTCTTGAGAAGTCACCTTTTATTTGTTGTCAATAAGTAATTTTGAAACAAATAAACTTTTAAAATTGTAAATTTTATTATTAAAATATATCTTTATTTTTGTTTACTTTATTTGTTGATAAGTATTTTTATGTAAGTAAAACTGCCAAAATCATAAATTTTAGTAGAATAAAGGATTAATCCTAGAGCTTTGCATAAGCTAAGTTACTTGCAAACCAAATGAACTAGCTCATTTAGGCTCAGTTCAAGCTACTATAAAAGAAGTTATTAGTCAAATAAGCTGGCTTATACTATAACTTAGCTTGTATCACAGCTTAGCTCGTTAGCTTGTATCTTTTTCTTTAAAGAAATAAAACTAAATGCAGTTTTTTTAAAGAAAAATAGCCCTGATAACGTTTCCTTTGAAGAAAAATGAATCCAGTAACATTTTCTTTGAAGAAAAATGTATCCAATGATATTTTCTTAAAGAAAATCATTCTGGAAGTAAAATCTTTTAAGAAAATTACTCCAGAAGTAAAGTCCTTCAAGAAAATCATTTTGGAAATGAAGTTCTTCAAGTTAATCATTCTAGAAATGAAGTCCTTTAAGAAAATCACTCTGAAAGTAAAATCCTTCAAGAAAATTGCTCTGAAAGCGAAATCCTTTAAAAAAATCATTTTAAAAGTGAAATTCTTCAAAAAAACATTTCAAAAGCAGATTCCTTTAAGGAAATTATTCTGGAAGTGAAATCCTTCAAGGAAATTGCTCTGAAAGTGAAAATCTTTATAGGATTCATTCTAGAAATAATTCTCTTAAAAGAAATCATTCTGAAAATATTTCTTTTAAAGGAAATCATTTTAGAAACGTTTCTTTTGAAGAGAATCATTCTGAAAATGTTCCTTTTGAAGGAAATTATTCTGAAAACTTTTCTTTTGATGAGAATTGCTCTAGAAATATTCCTTTTAAAGGAAATCGTTCAGAAATGTTCCTCTTGAAGGAAATTATTCTGGAAATGCTTCTCTTAATGAGAAATGTTTCTCTTAATAGTTTTTCATTTTTAAATATAAATGCAAGCTGAATGAGCTGATTTGTAAGTCAGATTGATTTGACTTGGCTTGTCAATTAATTTTTATGAGTTAAGCTAAGCTGAGCTAAAAAAAGTGGCTTAGCTTAAGCTAGTGAAAATCTAAGCTAAACCAGCTTATGAAAAGCTTTAAGTTTAGGTCAAAGTTCAGTAATTTAATTTAAAATATTATCTATATTTATTTTTATTTTAATAAATAAGTAAAATTGATTAAATTTTATTTATTTATTTATATAATTTTTAATTTATGTTTTAAAATTTTATATTAATTGATATTTTTAAATATCTGATATTACATAATAACCAAAATTTTTAAATTAGAGTTATTAGTAATATATGTTTATAATATATCTAAAAACTATTTATTTTTACATTTAATATGACTATAAATGAAATAATTATCTGATTTTTAAGCAAAAACATGTATACATTTCATCACGAAATTAAATAAATGTGAATTAATGTATTAACCAATATTGTTATTAATTAGACACTGATTAATGTAAAATAAAGTTGTTCTACTAATACTATGTGAATTAATGTGATTAACGTTAATTTAGAATAATGTAATCATATGACTGATCATATAATAAAATGACGCATCAATCAATTTATATTTTTTATATTGTAAACTATTTTAATAATAAATAATAGTATATATTTTTATAATATGAAATAAACGTCTAATACTTACTACAATATTATTTATTATAAATTAAAATATTAATTAATATTTAAAACGAATAATTTCATTATTACTATCACCATCAATATTTTTAGCATCGATTTCTTTTAAATAATCTTTCATTTTGTCTTCACTATTATAATCTTTATTTTCAGCGTCATTTAAATTAATTTTTTGGTTGTCAAGAAAATGTGTATCATATTTGTTATTACTCTTGATATAATTAGTCATATTATTATCATTTTCTAAAGGTTCTTTACCTTGAAGCTAATTTAAAATATATACAAATTAGTGCTATTTATTTCTTTTTATAATTAACTGAAAAATATCAAGTTAACTAAAAACTTACTCATCTTTGTACAATTAAATTAGAATCCTATTTATCCATTCATTTCTGAACTTTTGAAGACACAATTTTGACTTGATTATATGTTGGATCTAAAAATATTAATGCTATTATAACACTAAATTTGATATTATTTTCATTTTATAATTCTTTATAAATGCTCATTGTAATATAATTTTAATAATACATGATGAGTTTAGATTATTATCATCTATTTTCTTCTAAAAATCACATCTTGCTTTTGTAGCTCTTTTTGACTTTTTCTATTGTATAACTTCTGTAAGACTAGAGTTCCGAATGAGTCAAATTGAGCCGAGTTGAGTCGAGTTTAAGGATCAACTCGATTCAACTCGTTTTTTTCAAGTCAAGTCGAGTCAAATTTATTTATAAAATTTTTCAACTCGACTTGATTCGAGTTATATAAATTTTAAACTCGACTCAATTTGACTCAACTCGAGTT